CTAGGAGACCCCACCATAGGGGCTGCCGCACGAAGGCATGTTTCATGACATAACGTAGACCAGGATTCCACGTGACGGTCGGACCAGTTAATACGTGGATTGTGCTTCTCCAACCATTCGAAGCCGAGGACCAGAGGCGAACAAGCAGAGGGAAAAACAAAAAATGTAATGATTTCACGATGGTTACCTGAGAGTAGTAGCTCGAGGGGTTGAGTTTGATGGGTGACTTGGTGGAGTTTCTTCCCATCAATAGCTGAGACACGAAGAGGTTGAGAAAGTGGAATAGTTTCAATCTTTAACTGTTGGACGAGGTTGGAATAAATGAGGTTCCGTTCACAGCCTGAATCAATAAATGCAGAGAAGGAGAGGTTCTGATTATCAAAAAACAGGGTGGCTGGAAGCATCAGTCGAGGAGATTTCTTAGAATTAGTTCGGCCCGCCAGGCTCCTCAGATCCTCTGGCGGGCCCAGGCTCTTGGTCCAGAGCTGCATGGGAAACCAGAGGGAGTCTTCAGGTTTGACTCAGAGGGCAGGCTCGGCAGGTTAAGCTCTTCCAGAGCTTCACGGGAGAAAAACTGGTTTCCTGGAAAAACAGAGACAAAGTTAGAATCAAGCTTGGATTCAAAGTCAACAAAGGTTCTCAGAGGTTCTAGGCTTAGGTGCTAACCAACTGGATCAACACTGCGGCATTGAGGCAAGGTCTGAAGACAGCTTAAGTAGTGGATCCTCTGATGATGGTAACGAGCAGCAGCTGTGCAGGAGGCTCTGCTCAGGAGGATCCACGGCGGACTCTGCTGGAGAAGGGTGGAACTTCTCCAGCCTCCAACACCATCTCTTTAAACTGAGTTGAATAATTTAGCTCTTTTTGAAGTAGATATGTTCATATTAACACTTATATTTGCAAATATTTATAACCCTTGAACTTTTTTATTTTATCTCATTACAACCACAAACTCAAAAAACAATTTCATATGAAACTTAATGGAAACATAGTGGATTTCCTATTACTTTACAAATATTAAACTTGAAAGTCCAGTGTGTAGTATTCAGAAATAATTCAGTGGGCTCTATCAATGTAGTTAAGTGCGGCTATTTGAGATTTAGCTATTTCGTAAAAAGAGTCTAATTGTGTTTTACAATATCTCGATATAAATCCAGGAGTTTCATGAAGGTACCAGAGGTGTCTTACTAAAACTTAGTTGTGAAAGGGAGAAAGTTAGGCTAGAAAAATTAATCAAAGCTTGGAGTGTTTTTTTTTTAATTCAACAAACCTATCAAGACATCTGCCAAAATGTGACAGGCTGGCAATGAAAGTGTGTCTCGAATACATCAAGGTTCCCAGTGTAACTCCAGTGGAGCTGCAGAGGGCTAAAGCTAAGTTGGTAGAATCATGAAAAGATAGAGACCACCAATCTGTTCTTTTTATGACAGAAGTACAACAAGAGAGACAATTTTAAAAGCTAGCAAAGGGAATTTTAATCTAAAATGTTCCTACTCGTGTAGGAGTCACAGAAAACTCATAGAATAAGGTGCTCTGGTCACATTAGATGTGGGTGGCAATGCTAGCAATGTACTGTACATTCCCGCTTAAAACAGCTTGAATACACTAACCCACCGGCTGCATCCTGCTACTGAATACTTTTACTGTGCAGGAACAGAGAAGTTCATTGGTTGATTAGAAGGTGGAATTTGACTTATTTTTATGTAGAAAAAAAAAAACATCCAGAATAAACCAGCACCCTAACAATTTCTGTCAAACCTATGGCTTTTATTTATTGAACCAATTTATCGAATTAATCTAATTTCCCTGAATTGAATTGAATTACTTCAGAGCAGCGTTTAAGCTTTCTAAAGTTTTTCTTAGTTCTGCATTAAGAGTTGTGTGAGCAAAAGGGGTTTAAGGGCTGAGAGGGGTGTTCCTCATTCATTCAATTCTATATTTTGATTAATGGCGCTCATGATTTAGCACCTGCTGTTTTAATGTGGCCCCAGTAAGAATCTGATCTCAACTTGCTTGCGTGAGCCATGCTCCCTTTTTAAATAGCCTCCTAAATTTATCAGCTTTGTGTGAGCCTGTTCAACCTGTTTACATTTGATGTTTGTAACATGAGGGAAAACCTTACAGAAACGTTACAGAGTAAAGACCTGAAATCCTCATTTATTCTTCTATACTGATACAAAAACATTTTAAGGCCAAATTATTATGCTTTCAAAGATTGTAAAATCCTTTCATAGCTGGAATTCACACACACTCTCACTCTTTTTATATTAAACCTGACACAACAGTCTTTAAGAGAGGTCACCTGTTAAAAAGGTTAAGGACAGTTTTATTAGCTGATCAAATCTCTTAGATTTGCTTTTATGGAAAAGATTAATCTGTAAATAACTACAGCTGTCCCAGTGAATATGGCGGGTCACATTCAATACCAAAAAAACTGTAGAGGACTGAAATGTCATATAAATGAAATAAGCTGGAATCTGCAGACCTTATGTGTCCGCTATTCAATAAAAACAAAGATTACTTCATTTGAAGGTTTCCAAAGTTTGACAGAGCATCTCCTCCATGTTACTAACAATGAAACTAAAAACAGGATCCGAGGGTGTCAGAAGCTTTATACTTGTGGCCTCTGTCCTTGATACTCCAGTCAGTGTGCCCTCCACATGCAACAGCTGTTAGCCCATCCCCTCCCTCGCTGCATACCACCAATCTGGGGCCCTGTCCAGGAACAACACTTGTGCCTTCAAAACCTAGACAGACGTCTGACAACTGGATCCCCAACATGCAGGCATCCTGATTCAGCAATGCTCAGGTAGAGTCCATCAGTGCTAAAGGTGTTGGGGCATTCAAATGTAGAGCGAACTGACGGATGTTATTGTGTCTACAAAGGTTATAAATACCAATATGTGACACAGTGGATAAAGAAATCAAAGCTACTGGATAGCTCATACTTTTTCCTTTTTAAGTGCATTTCAATTTTATTTATAAAGCCATTATTTATAAAGCACTATTTCCTGACATATGTGATTTTTCAGAGCTCTACAGTCAATTCGCTAAAAGATTAGAGCAATCACTCCTGGCTGTGTTTGTAGCGATATTGGAAAGTCCCTACATAGTGACATTACCTTTATAACCATCTTTCATATGGAGTATGCACATACTGACAGTAGAGAGGAAAAGTCAATTTAAACAGTAAGAAACATCCTGGAGAACCATGCATAGTGAGAAAGGCCTTTGCCACAACAGACTGGGGGATTGAGCAAACACAGCATACACACAAAGGAAACACAGAAGCGCTGATATAGAAATATTACCAATTCTCAAAAGATTATGGTAAAGTAGATGTATATGTAGTTTTGTGGAGGGCAAATTTAAAGGTCAAAAGATGGAACAGAGGACATATACAGTTAGCTGGAGTAGCTTGGTCGATCTCTAGAAGCGAAAGAATGAAAAACACTGAAAAACAGCTACATCATCCACAACACCAAGTTATTGACAGCAGCAGCCAAGTTGATGCCTCCCTCTAGAACAGTCTCAAAGCTAAAAAATTATGCCAAGCCAGATATATATTAATCATGACAAAAAAAGACAGACTGAGTAAGAAGCTAAAAAGGTTTAATAATAATGAACATTTAGATAACAGAAGTAGAATGTAACACAGTGATGAAAAGTGAACTTTATGCCCTCTAGCAGCCAATAACTACAGTAGCACAACTAAACAGATTTCTCTGGATAAGCCACTTTAACTACAGGTTTTAAAAAATAATGCGCACAAGGATAATAGAAATAGAATGTAGCAGAGTGAGAAAAAGTGTTCTTTATGTCCTCTTGCAGCCTAAGCCTATAGTAGCACAGCTAAACAGATAGCTCTGGATAAGCCACTTTGAATGTAGGTTTTAACATAGACAAAAGTTTTAGTCTTAAAATTAATCAAATTATCTGTTTAGGTTGAGTTTGTGATAAATGCTGCATTGCTTGAATAATTATGACATTTATTAACCATTTTTGTGACAAAAGAAGGGGAATTAACTGAGAAAAAGCAGAAAAGGAGGGCAAATGTTGAAATAAAACAAAACATAACCTCCTTGAAAAAATAGAAACTATGGACTACAACTGGAATCCAAATATAAACCTCTGGAGCGACTACAAAACTCTAAACAGAAAATTTACGTTGTTGTCAGGGCGACCTAATCTGAGATTAGAACAGACAAAAATGAGAACAAAACCAAAATAAAATCCAACATTTAAAAGGATGAAAGACCAATAATGGATTGTAATACATTAGTTGCTGCCAATGGTGAAGGAAAATCTGCTTCTTACAGCCCATTAGCAAGCTAACCCATAACAGGGCTCCAAACTAACTGGCTGTATTGTTGGTGAGCAGAACCTTTCTCAGTTAAGAACTCAGAGCTGACCCCAAACAACATGCCAAGATAAAGAGAAAATGCCACAGAAAACTCTATAAGGACCAGCACCCAACTAAATCTTGACTGGTTATCTTAATCCAATGCTCTCTTTCCTGTTGTTGTACTGACAGAAAGTAAACACTAGTTGTACTTAAAAAAAGTAAATGGTTCTCGATTTTCCATCTTTTTCAGCTTTTCATCCTTAACATAAAGGGAAGTAGGTTACAGCATCTAATTTAGGTTTTTCAACCGCAGAAGCTAAGGCAGCAGTTTCACTCTTATTTGATGTAGGAAAATAAAGATTTTCTCTTCTCCATGACAAAAATTTGACAATTAAAACTAAATAATTCAATAGAAAATGGGAGAATATTTGTTTAAGATTAAAAACTCTAATATATTGGAGATGGAAAATAGCTACTTCTGACTCTGTGTGGAACTGTTCTTCTAAGGGAGGTGCTGAAAACGGTTAAGGTTGGTTTTAGAGTTACACAAAAATGCCTGACAGTGTCGTGGGAATTTCTGTGGAACACCCCTCCCTCCAACCTGTCACTTACTCCCTCACGCACACACCCACCCTCCCAGCTGCCCCCACGCTCCTGCCTGCAGAGTTTTCCGTCCAGTGTCAGAGTAACATCGTAAACCAGGACCACCTGACCGTGAAGTCCGAACTAAATGGAAGCAGCAGAGAAAACTCTCACCTATCGAGATGACACCGGACTTCACAGCAACAAGCTGCTTAAACCGATCAAAAAGGAGGACACCAGGGGTCAGGACACCGAGAAAAACAGCGACGAGTCAAACTATGTGGATCTGGACATGAGACCCGACGGGCTGAAGACGGTGAAAGTGACTTTCACCGGAAAGGGGAACCAGCTGTCCGTGAGTAAAGGAGACAGCTCGAAGCAGGATGAGAACAAATCCACTTCAACCGAGTCCCTGTTGGACACCCCGACCCAGCTCCCCACCGCTGACCCGGAGTCAGAGAGCGAGAAGCAGGAGTTTGACTCCAGCGACTGCAGCGAGAGCGGCGAGCTGCGCTACACCGACATGTGTCTGAACGGCAGGAGCGACTCCGAGCTGTCCGAGTCCCACTACATCACCACGCATGAGATCCAGCTCACCGAGTTGGACCACGACGTGGACTACGACCTGGGCCGGGGGACGCGCTGGGAGTTCGAGGACGGCAACCTGGTCTACGCCTTTGTGGATTACGCCTCTTTTGAGAGCGACGAGACCCAGGAGGGCACTCTGATCCTGGAGGGCGGCCGGAGCCAGGCGAAGCCGCAGTCTAATCTTAGCGGAGCGGCTGTCAGCACCGAGCAGGAGGAGAGCGATCTGTGCGCCAGCTCTGATGAGAGCCTGTGCAGAACACAGAGCGAGCAGTCAGCGGGGAAAATCCACCTGTCCATTAAAGCTTCCTCCAGGACGCTGAATGACCCTGCAGACGTGTTTGACAATAACGCGCAGTGGTTATCTCCGAAACACATCGGAGATGGGAGCCATTTCTCCTTTGTGAACCCTGGCGCCAGAGCGGGGCCCCTGTGTGATAGGGGTCAATATTTCATCCCAGCTCCGGGCCGTCAGCACCTCGCAACCAAGCTGAGACGGAAAGATATTAATGAGTACTCCAGCGGAGCGTCTAGCTCCATTAGTGAACTGGACGACGCTGATAAAGAGGTGCGTAACCTAACCGCCAAGTCCTTCCGAAGCTTGGCATGTCCCTACTTTGATGCCATCAATCTCAGCACTTCCAGCGAGTCATCCATGTCGGAATATGGCCTAAATAAGTGGTCAACGTATGTGGACTGGAATTATGGAAATATCACGCATAATACCTCCAGTGCGACACTGGCAATGAACAAGACTGTGGACAGCAGGGCGAATAACAGGTGCAAAACTGGGATTAAAGATAAACAGACAAGAATCTGTGCACTGAATAAGAGAATAACTTCACAGCAGACATCTACTGGCAGAAAATTCCAAATGAAAGAGCAGTCGGCACAGCAAGGAGTTACCCTAAACTTTCATTGTAATGTGGAATCCAGAACTCCCATGAGCCCCAAGTGTTTTCAAAAGGACCGACCCAATGAGGTGTTGGCAAGATCAGGGTGTGAGATGCAGTATCATCACACAGATGGTTCAGGGGACACACATAAGCGGGCTATTTTTGCCTCAAGTCTGCTGAAAAATGTCATTTCCAAAAAAATGCAGTTTGAACAGGAACGCAAAATGGAGAGAGGGGAAATCTCAGATACCCATCCTTCAGTGTCCTCTTGTATTCAAATCAAAGACTTGGAGGGTGGGAAGGAGAGGAGTGAGAGCAGAGGTCTGCAGGGGCGAACCTCTGAGTTAGGATTCACCGGAAACTCCCCCACTGATCACAGACCCAGCTCCTGTGGGCCTGCAGAGGATTCTAAGGGTGATAAGAAGACTACTGATTGTTCTGTGGAGCACCAAGAAGCACCACAGGAGCCACAGATTAGCAAGGAAGGAGAGCCTGCATCTGTGAAATATTCTCAAAACACAGCAAGGGAAGACCTGGACAGCAGCAGCGTTTTAACAAAACTTCTTTTTGTTCCAAACTGCCAGCTACTTTCAAAAGACGGAAGCCTGGCAGAGGATTTAAACCCCCACACACCTAACACAGGTGCAAAGTCATGTGGGAAGGAGCTGCAAAAGGTAGATGATACAAATACAGAGGGTAAAGAAAAAAATGAGAGGCTGGGAAAACCACCCGAGATTAAAATCTGCCTTAGAAATGTAAAAGAAACTAAAGGCTGCACACTGAATATTGCAAATCTTCTTACTCCTAAAATCAGTTATAACGTCAATAAATTCAGGGCAGGAGACAACGGTAGGTGTCATGTTTTGTCCTCAGCAGACAAGGCTCCGAGCTTCACTGTTAGAAACATCAGGGACACAAAGTGCAAGTTTCAGACACCAATATATCATGTTAGGGATGTGCGCAAGTTGGTGAAAAGTTCATATCGTTTTGTCTCTTTGGACAGAAGTGATCAGGGATGTTCTACAGTGGCTGAGGAGAACACCAAAGTGGAGCCAGATAAACCATCCCCTATGGTGATCAAATGCAACTCTGTTAAAACAAACATCAAATCAGAGACAGGTGACACGGCCCAGGCACAGGTGGAGGCGGATACACACTCTGAAACATCCAGCAGAATTCCCACAGTTGTAACAAAGCAAGGGAACCCAGATCTATCTGAGATGCAGCAAAATCCTGAGACCAAACTGGGAAAACAGAGACAGGACAGGTTCACTGGGGAGACAAATGAGAGAAGAAATGATCCTGCAATGCCAAAACAGGATGCGCTGGAAAAGCTCAAAGCTGCAGTCAAGACCATGGAACAGCTTTATGTTTTCGACAGGAATGAATGGAAGCGGAAAACTCAAGCCTCTCAACCGGCCGCAGACAGCCATGTGCTGCCTCTCCTCACCAAGCAGGAACAGAGACCTCCTGCTGATCTGGAAGTAAAAAACGGTGGCAGGATTCCTCCCTTTCTAACAACCAGCAAAGATACACAGAAAAAACAATCTCTCAATATCATACATGTTCCATATGACCATGACACTTTTAAAACACAATCACAGCAAAGTAAAACCTTCACCAACAAAAGTGCCCTTTATTTTGGCAATAAGAAAAATGTCAGCATTAATTCTCAAGATTCTGCTTTACAAACATCTGCACTGAAAAGCTCTAAAACATCGACGATGAATCGGGTGTCGGTAAAAATGGTGGAGCAGGACAAAGAGAAAACTAATTCCACTGATCCTACCAATACAAAAGGTTGCTCCGACCCTGAGAACTACCTAACCATACCAAGATGCACAAATGAAACCAAGCTGCACAATCAGAAGTGTGTGTCAATTGAGGGGGATTCAAGTTTTAGCAGAGATAATCCAGGTGATACCAAGGTACCTGAAAAAAAGAGGTCTCCTGTAACTGTGGACTGTCCATCTGCCACCATCTACCATCTTCCAACAGTAGCAACAAGTCCTCAAAAACAGCAGCAGGTGTTGTGTTTCTCCCCGTCCATCCAGAATATGTCCCCCACTCAGTCTGGAGGAGAAGCAATAACTCAAACCCAGCGCAAGATGCTGCTGGACCCCACAACTGGACATTATTATCTGGTGGACACCCCCATACAGGCCACCAAGAGACTTTTTGACCCCGAGACGGGAAAATATGTGGATGTCCCCATGCCTCATTCACCAGTGGCACAGGTCACACCCATGCATTTCCCTCTGCCCCCTCTAGCCCTCACCCCCACCTACATGGTCTACCCAGGCTTCATCTCTCCCACGTTGGCAGCAGAGGCGGTGATGCCGCAGTCTCCCTGTCACTCAGAGGATGCAGCAGGAGAAGGCATCAAAAACAACCCATTGAGCCATGGTGCAGAGAAGGCATACTACAGCGCGACAGCAGAGGCTCAGCAAAGACCTCTTCACTCACCCCTTAGTTTGGGACACGTGACCACCAAAGGAGGGACCGCAAGCTCCAACAGAAAGCCACTTATCAGCATAACAACGCAGCAGGGTCCAAGAATCATCGCTCCACCCTCATTTGATGGAAAAACAATGAGCTTTGTTGTTGAACATCGGTGACCAAAACGACTTCTCTTCATGCATGTGAGTTAATATACGCATAAGTTAATGAAACAATCCAGCTTAAAATGCTCCGTCTGGGTGAAGGGTTCAGACTAAATGGCAAAATGTTTAGTTGGAGTCAGAAAGAAAAGCTTTGAGTCAATTAAAAGTTACATAGATTCTGCTGCAGATAGATGTAAAAAAACAACACTATTAGGCTCCAAAAAGCATCAAAGAACATAAAATCCCTCTGGCATATAGGTCTAATAGAATCTAAAAGGTAGAATATAGTTCAAAAAGATTGTTTTCTCCGGTTTTTAAACATTTCAGTGTTTGCAGGGCCCTTAGGATGGCAGTGAGGGGCGTAGCAGTAGTGCACACAGCCCAGTGCCACAGGTGGTCTGTGAAAGTGCAGATGTACATGGGGTGAGGAGACAGACACTCAGAAGAAGGGATGTGAGGAGAGAGCTATTGTACCTATATAGGCAGAAATAGAAAGACTTTCTTATAAGTAGGTAATTGGGAGGTCAGTTTTCTTTAGAATGATTTATGCAATATCTTGTCAGCTGTTAGGCATCATATGAATCATACTGGTTGTTTTGCACTCCGAACTGGGTAATAACTAGGGGTGTAAGTGAAACCATATCAATTCAATACCAATATAGCGACACATCATTAAATTATACTAATGCAAAATATTGAATCAGTCTTAAATGTAAAAAAATATCTAATTATAAGAAAATATGAGTTTCATTGTGTTTCTTTTATATAAAAGTTAAACCCATTTATATATAACATTTATATAATCAGTTACTTGGCAGTACTTCGCCCAAGAGCCTATAATTCAGCAGCTCTTCTCTGGCTGCAGCAGAGCGATGAGATCTCATGAAGTTTTACAGAGCTATATTATCTTAAAATGAGCAAAATCTCATCTTTGTCACTGTATCGCAATATATTGCATGATAAATCGTATGCTGACACTACATTTTTGCCAGTTCACAGTGCCATTTTTTCACTCTACTCAACAAGCTCAAACTTAGCATCAGTAGAAACTGGCACAGCATTTTGAGATACAGTTTTTTAAACTTTTACTTTTAAACACACATATGTTTGCTTAACCTATTTTGCTTTAGGGTTTCCCCCTTCCAAAGGTAAACAATCATACGATACTCCTATCTTAATATATTTACTGATAACCCTTGTAAAGCTGTGTAAAAACCCCAAGAATAAATTGTTCTTTTATTAGAGCAGCATAATCTCACGCTTATAAATCTGGTCAGAATCCAACCTTTCATTGGAGAACATTCATTCAGGTGAAAAAAAATTCAAACTTAAGAATTTAGATCCCATAATTGTATTTATTTTAATATCATACATCAGTTGTCGATCAGGGTTTGAAGGAATATTTAATTAATATTCCGCTGCTTCCTTTTTCCCCCAAAAGAGATTGAAAATGAATGCCACATTAACAGGAAGTAATTTCTCTTGACCATTTATCTAAATTAGAAAGTCAGGAAACATGCAAGAAAATAGCTACTTAAAAATAAACCACATTAATCAAATTGTAACCGACCTGTTTAAGACTGGGGAAAAGCACCTATGTTTATATTGCCCCGTCTCCTGTCAATAGTGGAGATTTGGCTGAGATGGCAAAGAAGATCCACAAAGCTCACTATTAGAGCACCGCAGCAAATGGCATTAACTGAAAGAAATCTGTGTGCTGCAGAACCTTTTAAGAGTTTAGAGACAAAGGTTTTTCCTGTGACAAAAAGGTGATTAAAAAGGATCAAAGATAGATAGAAAAAAGGGTAAACTAATTGTTTAGAATAAAGGATCTCATGTTAAAAACAGAAGTATCACAGAAGGCAAAAAATAAGGGACTTTAAAGAACATAAAGTTTAATAGATAAAAACCCATCTTGCCTGTACATTTTCTCAGTAGGTTTGTGTTATTTGGGCTGTTGTTTTAAGTTTTCCATGTTTTCTCTTAGCAGCAGTAGAGCTTGGTCACTTAAGCGGCGCTCTGACAGTGTTAATAGACATGCAGTAGCTTCATGACAGGTAACCTGACTCCCACGAGAGATTCAATTTTCATCCTCGAGCCTTAGCTTTTTTTCTGCATTACACATCGTCGGACTATTTTAATAGTGTGAGGCGAGTTTGTTTACACGGTTTATTCTCAGAGTGTCACTGGAAACTATTCTAGTTAGTGACGCCTTAACATTAACTTATTCATAATCAGATGTTAAAGCTTTTATATAGAATTACAGCTCACTAATCTGTTCATCCCCTGAGGCAACATTTTGCTAAATGGTGGTATTTTATTTAAAAGGATTACCGTCGGCCAATAGAAATCTATAGGCTACATTTTACTTTGTAATAATCAGCTATTCAAAGTTGAAACCAGGCTTTTAGAAATGCTGGATGAATTGGAGTATTTATTTTCTCAATCCCTGGCAATAAATCAGATCATTCCTATCATACATCAGTCAGGATTACTACTTTACTTAACTTCATAAGATAAAATCTAATTGGAGCTTTATGCTAATATCAGGGAATAGGTACACACCTTTGTTAGGATCATAATAGGCACACCTATGTATGTATTGTAAGGCAAGGACTCAAACATTCTGTTCCCTTGCACAACATAAAGTGAGAATCAGAAATTACTCAGTCAACCATCACAGCACAGTTTTCCCTTTATGTCTTCAAGATGATGCCCCACATCAGTCTACAGGATGCTTAAATGTGCTTCTTCATCCGTAGCATATAGGTCTGCTTGTGCCCCCAGAGACTTTCTGTAAAGATTAGTAAGAAGCCAACCTTCTGATGAAAAACCTACAAAGATTTTTTAGTTGATATAAAAAAAATTTAGGCTCCTCAATAATTTAAAAAGGGGCTTTAAGAAAAGTCCCTTCCAATTATGAGGAGTGGAGGCAATATGGTCAATTTGGGTTTACTTAAACCTGCAACAATTTTCTAAAGTTTTGGTACTTAACCCTTGTCTGAAATAGAGATGAATCTGATCAGCTATCGATTCCGATATTGACAATTTAGGTGGATCAGATATCAGAACAATGCTGATACAGCATTCTGATCCAGCCATTTGTATTGTTATTGATATGATACACAGCAATACAGTTACATCCTTTTAGTGACTTAGATTTAATGACTGCAGGTATGATTACATCATCACACAGAGCGTTGATGTTAAGTTATCTTTTTTCTTTTTTTAATGTCCGGCATGAAGTCTTTCCTCCAAATCAGTAGTAACAATTTCTTCCCGCTTGCCATCAGACTGTTAAGCTTTTAATATGGACCCATTTTGCACTGTTGTTTTGCACTGCCAACATTGTTGAACTTTAAAAAATCCATTTAAATGTAAAAGTTCACAACTGAACTTCTACAGCCATTTTGCACCATCTTTTTTGCTCCGTCCACACGGTTGTACATTTTTATATCCATTTTAATCGAAAACCTTTAGAACTTTTTTGTTTTTTTGTACTGACAACATGGTTAAAAAATCTTTTGCACTTTTTAAAACTGTTTCTCCTTGCAATATGATCCAGTCCTATGCACTGCTGCTACTGCTTTATCTTTTTTAATTGCAATTTCATTATATTGTCAGTAAATGTATGCAATGTCTAAGTCTAGTATCGGTATCAGATATCAGCTGATATGCTCAGCTCCTGTATTGGGATCTCATTAGATCAGGGGAAAAATGGATCAAAGCATCTCTAGGCTAAACAAAACTCAGCTACATGTTTCACTCCTGCCTCTTTATGGTTGTCATCATTATCAAGAATGAGTCTCAGTACAGCAATGTTGTGCCAGTTCATAATTAAAAAGAACAAGCTCAAATTTCAGTTCACACAGATGAAAATGAAGTAGTTAATGTTCATACTTTACTTTTTCTTAAAATGAAAGTTCAAAAACCGCTAAATTAACTAGTTCAAGTTCATTTGGTAAATTAAGCCACAATCCTACACAATAGAACTCCATATTTCACCCTTTAAATGTGTGATCATAATATATAGAATTAAACTGAAAATACTCGATGCAGTCAAGGTACACTGTATGTGCATTGAAACCTTTATTTAGCCAAAAACACAGAACAAAACATACAGCTAAATTCAGGTTAAGGTTCTGCTGAAAAGATCTGTATCGAAAAATAATTTCTTATGTTCCTTCACCAGTAGCTGATATTTGCTAAGATAGCTCGGATGCTTTAACTCGATGTGTCGCTATAAATTTGAAGTGGAAGTGGCTGATGTACGGACTTGTTTCTTAAGTCGCAGTGGGCACAGTTTGCGCAAAAACATGAGTTTTTGAGACTTACTTTGGTAGTTCATCCAATTCTGCCAAGCGCTCTGCAAAACTGGAATCCGAAATACCAGTAGAAGAGTCTGAATCGTGCAGACTAGTACTAGCAGTAAACATGCTGGCCTGTCATGCTGTTTGCTATAATAAGTGCCAAAGACCTGACGATATCCAATGAAAAGTGTTATCAATTGAACGCGGATGTGAGCTGTGTTTGGCTCATTATTCTCAGAGTGAGTGTTGCTCTTGTTTACGTTCATTATTTCAAATCTGATCCATTCTGTTTACCGTTCAGTAAAAATATTAACCTATTCAGTGCACAACACATCTCTATAGTGCTGTCACTAGCAAATCAACTATAGGCTTGGAAGAGATATTGGAGCTGCAGCCATGGGTAAAGAGGGACCGGGCTGAGCACCTCAGCCTGCAATCTTGTTTCCCTCAGGATTCTACTGAATGAAATCAGGTTCAAGAGAGAAGTTCTTTTATAAAAATATGAATATTCCACAAGTATCACAACAAAAATCAATAAATGACTGTTATTTGAAATGTGACTCTACACTGCTATCACTACAGTATGTCACATAGATGTTTTTTTTTTTATCAAAACATTAAGAGCAGGCCTGCCGAAAGCTCAATTCTATTCAATTCAGTTTATTTATAATGAGCAAATTTAAAACACGTCATCTTAAGAACCTTTACAGAGACTGTCAGACGGGTTTG